AGACAAGCTGCCTATTATCTGTGGTCATACATGGCCTGAAAAATGAGAGAACTGATCAATTTTGTTTGTCCCTTCGACATATACATACTTAAACACATATTTGTAATATCAGAAACATTCCGAAAGAGTGATCTATTACTGTAAAGTTCCGTCCATAACTCGTATTAAACTACAATTGACATTCTGTCAACACGACCTTTTTCACATGTTTGATAGCATTTGAAATGGATTGCAGTGAATCTATTTTTGCTGCAAAACTAACTTACGATTCTTCATAAAAAACTTTAATAATTGACTGAAAGACCAAGACAAACTCCAGTTGCAAATGGTTCAGTGTTGACTCAAAAGTATGTAAGCTACGAAAAGCTGGAATTCAATATACAAAGCAGGAATCTTATCTCACGAAAACAATTGATGTATGCAACCACCAAATCTTGATTGAAAGAATGCGGAACGAGTGTGATGTCGGTGAAGATAACTGTGGTTTAGATCATTCTTAAGACAAAGCTTTGAAGGAAACCATTGACCCTATTCTACACATATCAACAAAAAGATCATAGTAGAAAACCTAATCAGTCTTGATGACACCTTTTTAACCATAGTTTGTCAATCATCATTTACTAACGAAATATGGAAGTGTTTATCTAGGTATTGATAAAATGTTTCGACAGATCACTTTATCAAATTTAGCATTCACACGGAACTCATAGTTGACTGCAATGATCACAATATCACTTATGTGCAATACTATTTATCTACGAGTTATTATTAGCCTCTCTAATCTTGTCGAATTCTTTACATTGAAGACTATTACATCGACTATTTGGTTATGAATGAGTGCATAAGTGTCTGTGACAATTCATATACAGATACTAGGTATATCATCGGTCGAGATCTTAAGATTTAGCAGTTTTTTACTAAATGTCAAACATTTATCGAGTGTTCTTCCGCTTCTTCAGTTTTCTTTCATGAGGTTTTCACAAACTGTTAAGTTTGTCTTACATTGTTCCTAATCGCTCTCCTTCCACTTCTTTGTTTATTGTTTTATACTACTTATTCATATTCAGTAAGCAGTTGTATACTTGACAATTTTCACATTTACATTGTAACACAAGTTGTACTGTAACATTCGGAAACGTTCCCATATATTTATAATGTTTATTGTATTTATCATTGTATTTGTCATTGTAATTACTGTACTTTAATTACTGTAACGAAGTATACAGTTTAAATGGGCGGAAGTTGCAGACAATATTCTAAGAAGAAGGCTAGAACCCAATTTTGATGATTTGTTGCAATTCTTGGAAAAGAAAGTGTCAATCGCCACGAACACTTATGGACAGTTAGCAAGTGGGAGCTACAAAGCTCAAACGACATCGAACAACCGGTCTGCTTCTATTAGAGCTACGATCCATACATGGTCGAGTAAAGGAAAAGTTCATTGTGTGATTTGCTCTGATACCCACGAAGTCGTATCTTGCCCACAACTGCTAGCAGTAAGACACAACGAAAAGCTAGAATTACTGAAGAAGTTTAAACTTTGCTTTAATTGTTTAAAACCCAATCATCGAGCAAAAGACTGTCAGCATGCCGTGTTGTGTGAAATTGATGGCTGCAAGCGACGTCATCATAGAATTCTTCACAACACAGAACCTGATGCTAAACAAACATGCTGTAATTCTACTTATTCTGCTGGAACGTATTTAGGATTTGTGCCAGTCAGGTTACATGGTTCCACAGGACATGTGGATACCTATGCATTATTGGATAATGGCTCAGACTCGACACTATTGCTTAGTGATGTGGCAAAGCAGGTAGGAATTTCAGGTACAGTGACAAGATTGAACATATCTTCTGTAATTGGAGCGTCATCTCAGAACGCTGAACTTATTAATTTCGAAATCGAATCTTTAGACAAGACTAATCGAATCAAAATCGAAGGTGCATATGCTATAAACAACCTACCTATTAAAAGGGCAGAAATCCCACCAACGGACTTCCAAGAAAGATGGAAACGCTTGAAAGGTGTACAGCTACCCACCATAGCTTGTGACAAGGTTGGTTTGTTACTTGGTGTTGACGTTCCAGAGGCCCACTGGGTTATCGATCAGTGTATCGGGAAACCTAAACAACCCTATGCATCACTAACTATGTTAGGATGGGCCTTATTTGGACCGACAGGTCAACTTGATAAAACTTCAGCCTTCATAAACTGTTTAGAAGCAAAAGGTTCCGTCGAGGAGGATATTCTCAAATTAGTTGAACATGAATTTTCTGAAAATAAGTACTCTGATAAAGTTGCCATTTCCCTATGTGATAAGACCATTATGGAAATTACTGACAAACAAACAGTAATGCTTGATGGACATTATCAAGTGCCGATGCCCTGGAAAGTGGATTGGGACTCACTTCCAAGGAGTAGATGTAGTTTCATCATTAGCAAGTCTAGAATAGCACCCCTGAAATTTGTCAGTGTTTCTCGTCTTGAACTACAAGCCTCAGTACTGGCAGTGAAGTTGATGAGGCAAATAGTAGAAGAATTAAAGCTAAAGGACATGACTGAAATCTACTTCTGGACTGGTTTTATAATAGTATTAAATTACATACTTAATACGACGTCACGTTTCAAGTATGTAGCATCATCCATCAATCTTGCTGATCTAGCTTCCAGAGGAATGTGTAAGTATGACCCTAACCGTATTAAAGCTTGGCCTTCAGGTCGCGAGTTCCTAACGACTGAGAAAGATAAGTGGCCTGAGTATAGACGAGAAGAAATATTAAAACTCCCAGTCAAGCTAGAGTTAAAGAACGCCACAACCTTGGACACCATGACTACAGTTTTTCCTCTTGATAAATTTATATCCCATTTTTCGTCATGGATTAAACTCAAACAAGGCACAGCTTGGCTCATCAGATTCAAATGTCACCTCTACAATAAAACGATCGTAAGGGGACCCCTTGCGCCTAACGAATTGGATAATGCCGAAAGAGACTTATTAAAATACATAAAAGCGCAAGACTTTGCGGAAATTAGACAATGGATTAAACGACACAAGCATTCTGATAACATCCTGTCCAAAATTCATGTTATTGATAAGTTACGTCCAATCTTGATTGACAACCTGATTCGCGTAGGAGGACGTTTGAACCGTAGTGATCTCCCGTTAGAGCAAAAACATCCGATTATTCTACCTAGCAAACACCCTATAACGGAGCTTATCATTCGTCACCACCATCAAGCTGACGGACACATGGGGGTGTACTACACACTAGCCTCCTTGCGCAAAGGGTTTTGGATCTTAAAGGGAACTACTGCAATTAAGAGGATCATACAAAAATGTATAGGCTGCTGTATTAGATCAGCCAGGCCGATGTCACAAATGATGGGAGACTTGCCACCTACACGGATAACAACCGACTTCCCGTTCGCAACGACAGGAGTAGACTATTTAGACTCAATCATGATTAAGGAGGGACGCAAACCTCGAAAGTGTTACGGATGACTGAACAGTAGAGGATAGAGAGGCTCTTCAGAGTGACTGTGGCTAGAGTAAATTGTACCATTGTCACCTCTGAATGTTTTTACGTTAGTCCTCAATCAGCGAAAGTAAGGAAAGACATGCTGTATTTGGGGGGCAGTGTTAAGTTTGTTTTACATTGTTCTTAATCGCTCTCCTTCCACTTCTTTGTTTATTGTTTTATACTACTTATTCATATTCAGTAAGCAGTTGTATACTTGACAATTTTCACATTTACATTGTAACGCAAGTTGTACTGTAACATTCGGAAACGTTCCCATATATTTATAATGTTTATTGTATTTATCATTGTATTTGTCATTGTAATTACTGTACTTTAATTACTGTAACGGTTATCCACAGTTGCGGATTTGTTTAAACACAACAGTTTCCATATTGTTTGCTCTTGGTTCGAGTTTCGATTGTTCATAAACTGAAGTCGAATTTCGACACAGCCATCGGCTGTCTTTGTACTATCGAAGCCTTTACTATTTCATTCTTGAATGACGCGTTAAACGCCTAGACACCTCACAAGTTGAGGTTTGTAATTAAACTTTGTGTTTATATAATAATAGAACCGCTTATGTAGACAAATCGTGTTTTGGAACTTCGATTTTGCGCGTATCTCAATCGGGTCATTTGGAAGCTTTGAGAGAATTAACACTAACCTGAAATTCAGTGGTCCGCAAAAGTATTTTTCATCAAAAACGCGTTGACTTCAGCTTGAACTGAAAGTCATCGAAAACATGGTCACTCATCAATTAGCCATAATAATGACGATTTAGGATGATAATGATGATGACGATGATTATGATGAAGTATATGAGACTGATGAATATTATCATGATAATGAGGATGATGTTGATGTTTTGAATGATGATGTTAATAATAATAATAGTATTATTTATGATATGATATGACGATGATAATGATGCAAATGATGAAGATTATGGATGTGATGAGGTTAGTAACGATGATGAGAATGATAATTATTTTGCAGATGATGATGTTTATGGATATGATGAGGTTTGTGAAGATGCTGCTGCTGCTGATGATGTTGATGATGATGATAATAATAATAATAATAATGAAGCGAATGATGAAGATTGTGGATGTGACAAACTTTGTGTGAAGATAATGATAATGATGATGATGAAAATGAAGCGGATGATGATGAAGAGGATAAAGTAGATTATGGATATCATGAGCAATGTAACGGTGACGATGATAAAAATGATGAGGCGGATGAAGAAGATTATGTATATGATAAGGTTTGTGATGATGATGACGATGATTATGATGAAGTATATGAGAATGATGAATATTATCATGATAATGTGGATGATGTTGATGTTTTGAATGATGATGTTAATAATAATAATAATAATAATTGTATTATTTATGATAATAATTTGTTTAATCTAACTAATCGTTTCAATGCGATTTGATAATAATTCTTATTTTGATTTTCTATCAATTCTCCTTTGATTGGTATAGGATGAAGGTATTCAAAGAAGGAGAATACAGAATGGAACAATTAAGAAGAATGTGATTTTGATTGTGTACAAATTTGATTTTACATTGTATAATATAATCTTAAAATAATGCACATTTGTGTTTTCATTGTGTTAATCGGTAGATAGTGAATGTGGGCAGCTTAGAGCGTACTAGTTAAAGTCTGACCACTGTGTAAGTTCAGTGAAGTGTACGAGTTGCTCGGTTGTGTAGCTGTGGTAATTGTACTAACTGATGATTCCTTCGTACGTGATTGCGCTCTGATTACGAATTGCGAATATAATACGTTGATTTGTGCTCACCTAGTTCTGAATTCATGGTCGGTTGATTGATTGCTAATATGAATATTGTCAACTTACAAGCAAAATTAATTCACAAACATATACGTTCATTGCGACAAATTAAAATACTATGTAGTAACTATGGTGCAGTGAATGAGCTTGATTTCCAGTCAAGTCTATTTCCGGAGACGAGATGAGTTATCCACTACTCCCGATGGTATTTTGTGGTCAAGTGATGGCGTTGTTATTCTTCATCCATTACTTAAATCTGTCCTTCAACATCTTCATAGGGATCTCACAAATTTCCAACATCAAGTGAGTTCAAATGTGATTTAATTGTATATTGGAAAACCAATGCTTTTCTGTGTGTTAATAACAGTAGTAATAACAATAACAATAATGATAGCATTCTCAAGTTAGGAAGTTCTGTTGAATACCTTGTCAAGTCCACCGAAGTTGAGCATCAGGAGTGGGTAACAGACACAAACCTCCCAATTGAACATCAAGCATGAATTTACTTTCATCACTGAGGATGGATAACATTATATTATAACATTATATTCACATTTGTTCATGATAACCACGCCTGATCCTTTATCAGGCTTCAACAAGACAATATCAGTGTTTGTTCGTAGTTCTTTTAGTGATTTAAAATGTTGAGAAGTTAACATGCTTCTCTGCTTTGGTCCAACATTATCAAATTGGTGTGCTATATCCACCAGTTTAGCTTTACACCAAGACATTAATCAGGAATGGTTGTCCTCGTAAATTTATCAATAGATGGAAATCTCAGGACACAGTGCGACCTACTGTAGCTTTGGTAGAGAAAAAGCCTGTCTACATCACCTTACCATTTAGAGGTGATTCAAATAGCCTTTCATTGAAATAAAGGCTTAATTCTGTCTGTCATCAACAAAACGTATTGTTCAGTGAAGGTCATAGAAAGGTCAAAGAAAGAACGAGGTCCATGCTTCATTGAAAACCTAGACGACATGAAAACGATTGTGTCACATCCTTGTCTACTTTTATTAACCCCCCCCCAACCACCACTTATTTACAGTCTAGTTGGCCTTCTACTTTTCATATATAAATGTTCTGAACAAGTATATTATGTGTGATCAGATTGTTCGAAATGTATTGCACTAATATTGCACTATCACATAGTTCTGATGATAATCTTCGTCTTCTTATTACATTATCGAAACAATCTTATAGTAAGGAATACTACTTCTGAAATTATAACGTTATTCTGTATTCATATAAAAGATACATAAATGACACACAACATAATGGGAAATCGAACAGAATTACATACGATGTGCTTGCGCAACACTCTCCTCCTGTGTATTTATGGGAGCTGAGAGAAAAGCAACAACACACCTGAATCAAGTATGCTTAAGCAAAGTGTGGAAAACCTATCTACAAAGCAGTTATCGTTTGTGTGTGCATCTACGAAACTCGTTAATTTGACGGTACCCAATTTTAATTGTGTTCCTTTATGTTGTACACAACAACGGGTTAGACTGAATACAGTCACAGTGTGGCGTGTGCTACAGATTCAAGCAGCGAGTCTTTGTTTCAAATATCAGGTGGATATGCTGGAACGAGATTTAACTACCATAGTGTTACAAGCTGCAATGATTAATGGCTAAATGTCAATACACCTCCTATCCTTATTACTGATGATTGGAAGACAGCATCAGATAATCACAGTGAAGGAGGTCAAGAGAATAGAACGAAACCAAACTGATTGGAGAAGTCAAGTGTGCCGACTCAACCTAATCAAGCGTTCCTCAATTTTTATGTCACACCTAAAATAAGATCACTGACTTCCTTATTCATCACTTCCTGAAATATGACTAGAGAACAACTTAGGCCAAATAAAGAAAGCTCTATTTGAACAGAACAGAAGGAGTGTTAATAGCTGGCAAAATAGATGAAGTTTGATCTAGGTGATTTGAAGATAAGCGTCTTTAAAGTCAACTTTCACGAACACTTTAGAACTATGAATTCAATTAGGAATACGTAAAGATTCCCCCATCGTGCATGTTTGCTTTAATAAGCAGTAGTTCATTGTTCATCTGTAGTCACCACAAATTCTACGGGTGTTGCCATCAGAATTCAAGGACGTAACAATAAGAGTACCACATATAGAAGAATGAATCGGTCCAATTATACGTTTCTCACACAAATCGTTGAACGTCTTATAAAGTGTTCTTTTGGAAGACCATAAGGAATCATTAGTCTCTTGAGAAAGACTGGATCATCTTGTACTGTAAGTTTTGTAGGCTGCATTTTCATCCCTCCACTGCACTAAGCACACGCCATATACTTGAGCAGGTTCTAAGTTTCTTTGATGGTGACAACCAGCAAATAAGCTGTGAATCCATCATTGTTAATATCTTTTCCGTTCATGCACCAGAATTCACATCGCTCCATGTGGTCTTCAAACTTATCCGCACTTGAACTAATATCCAACAATTTGAGAATTGGATCAATCGCAACGTCAGTATTATAATTAGAAGTATTCGAATTAATGTACTGAAGAGGAAATTCCGAAACAGTCCTATTTAAGGCAGTCAGAACAAGGTGAGCACAAACGAACGTGTTATGTTCGCAATTGGTAATCAGAGCGCAATCACGTACGAAGGAATCATTAGTTAGTACAATTACCACAGCTACATAACCGAACAACTCGTACATTTCACTGACCCTACCCAGTGGTGAGACTTTTACAAGTACGCCCTATGCTGCCCACATTCACTATCTACCAATTAACACAATGAAAACACAAATGTGGATCGTTTTAAAATTACATCATACAATGTCAAATCACATTTGTACAAGATAAGAATCACATGCTTGATACCCTATTGTGATAACTATTACCCTAATTATTATGACGCTCATCTTGATAATTAAAATACTAGATAGCTAATTGCAGACATGATGATCGTCACAACATATAGTGAAACAGTCACCATAACCTTTAACACAATATATGAAACGTTCATCATCACAGTAGTCATCGAAATATAGAGCAAAAAAGCTAACATGATATTCCGAATAATAGGCGGAATAGTTGTTCTCATCAAGCTAAGTATAACGAAAACAATGATGGTGAGTAAGAGAGAGGTCATAATTGTAATATTTGCACAAATGATATAGACAGAAAATCGCAGAGGAAAAATACACTTTCAGCCTTCCCGAAAATTCCAAATCTAGTATTGACTATTCTGTTTCATTTATGTAAATTTTATAGGGAATGTTTAAACTGAAATCACCGGTAGAATACTTCCTGCTGTAATATACTACTTTTACATCATATGATTAGGGTTGTGGAATTAGTGCAGCTCCTGTTGACACCGCTTTATCTCCAACATCAATAATGCTTCGACTTTTGTTGTAGTCAGCAAAAATCAACCTGAACATCATCACAGGGCAAGATATTTTCGAATATTCTGTTTTCTGGAGATTCTTGATAGATCTCACTGACTATTTCTATCAGTTATTGTGAACACTCTGTGTAAGCTTATATCCCTCACATTGACGATAGTCTATAGAAACTCATTCTTCATCCTTCATTATTATGAAGAGAATTGTAATCTATGTCAGCCTTCAGCGTCTTCATCTGAGATGTAATATTTTCAATAAGAAAATTTTCCGAACATTCTGAGATACTGTGTGATTCCTCATTGAATAGTACACCTGACCTAGATCACTTTCATCTAGTACTTCCAATTGAAACGATATGCAATATAGTAAAATATGTCAAATAGACGATCTCGTACTCCGATGATAAAACATAATCTATATTCCATTGGATAGGTTGCTTTTTATGAAACCACTTTTGGTTACGCCTCTGTTTTTTTTCTTTTTGTAATTAGTTTTCTTACTATTTGCACTTTTCATCAATTCAATACAATTTGTACAATGACCATTTTTGCCTGTAAAATTGTCGTTTAAAAAGCATAACCTTTCACCATTTGTTCCTGTTCGTCAACATACATAGCATGACCCATTAATTATCTGACACAAATTTCCTGCTGCACACGTGAACTGTAGTAGTTTCTCAACAGACCAATCTATTCATTCTTCTCAAATCACATATTTTGACCTTGTCACTTATTGGCTTATTAACTCTGACTGTTTTGATACGATCGTATGTGTGTGTGTGTAAGTGTGCTGATCGCTTATCCTATTCATCATATGTTGTTACTTGTTTTACTTACTTACTTACTTACGCCTGTTACTCCCAATAAAGCATAGGCCGACGACCAGCTTTCTCCAACCCACTCTGTCCTGGGTCTTCTTTTCTAGTTCTATCCAGTTCTTGTTGATTCTTCTCATGTCTGTCTCTATTTCTCGGCGTAATGTGTTCTTTGGTCTTCCTCTTCTTCTTTGACCTTCAGAATTCCATGTAAGGGCTTGTCTTGTGACACAATTGGGTGATTTCTTCAAAGTGTGCCCAATCCACTTCCAGCGCTTCCTCCTGATTTCTTCCTCCGCCGGAATCTGGTTTGTTGCCTCCCACAGTAACATTTTGCTCATAAAGTCTGACCAACGGATCCGAAGTATCTTTCGTAGACAGCTGTTGATGAACAATTGTATCTTCTGGATAATGGCTTTCGTAGTTCTCCACGTCTCCGCCGCATACAGTAGAACTGTCTTGACATTTGTATTGAAAATTCTGACCTTGGTGTTGGTTGACAATTGTTTTGAGCTCCAGATGTTTTTCAGTTGTAAGTATGCTGCTCTTGCTTTGCCGATACGCGCCCTCACATCTGCATCTGATCCATCGTGTTCATCAATGATGCTGCCCAGATATGTAAAGGTTTCCACATCCTCCAAGGCTTCTCCGTCAAGTGTAATTTGATTGGTGCATATTGTATTGTATTGTATTGTATTGTATCGAAGAGTCTTGCTTTTCCCTTTGTTTATATTGAGACCTACTGCTACTGAGGCTGCTGCTACACTGGTCGTTTTCTCCTGCATTTGTTGTTGCGTTTGTGATAGAAGAGCCAGATCATCCGCGAAGTCTAGATCGTCAAGCTGCATCTTGCCTGTCCACTGTATCCCGTGCATTCCTCCAGATGTTGACGTCTTCATAATCCAGTCGATGACCAGGAGAAAGAGAAAGGGTGAGAGTAAGCAACCTTGCCTAACACCGGTCTTTACTTGAAACGAGTCGGTGAGTTTTCCTCCGTGGACGATTTGGCAGTTTAGTCCATCATAGGAGTTCCGTATGATATTGACAATCTTCTCAGGCACGCCGTTGTGTCGAAGAAGCCTCCATAGTGTCGTCCTGTCCACGCTATCAAATGCCTTCTCGTAGTCGATGAAGTTGATGTAGAGTGATGAATTCCATTCGATTGATTGTTCCACAATGATACGTAGAGTTGCGATTTGATCTGTGCACGACCTATCCTTACGAAATCCAGCTTGTTGATCTCGAAGTTGGGCGTCCACGGAATCCTTCATCCTGTTTAACAATACTCTGTTGAAGACTTTTCCCGGTATTGAGAGCAGAGTGATGCCCCTGTAGTTGTCGCACTTGCTAAGATCGCCTTTCTTTGGTATGTTGATGAAAAGTCCTTCTTTCCAGTCTGTTGGTACTTGTACTTCGTCCCAAATCTTACTGAAGAGAATGTGGAGTATCTTGGCAGTTGCTGTTACATTTGCTTTCAGTGCCTCTGCCGGAATGTTGTCTGGTCCCTCTGCTTTGCCACTCTTGACTTGTCTAATGGCCATGCTGATCTCTTCAATTGTTGGTGGGCCAACATCGATTAGGAGGTCTGTGGGTGCTGATTCGATGTTGGGTGGGTTCAATGGAGCTGGTCGATTCAAGAGTTCTTTGAAGTGTTCTACCCACCTGTTGCGTTGTTCTTCAATGTCGGTGATTGATGAAAAGTGCAAATAGTAAGAAAACTAATTACAAAAAGAAAAAAAACAGAGGCGTAACCAAAAGTGGTTTCATAAAAAGCAACCTATCCAATGGAATATAGATTATGTTTTATCATCGGAGTACGAGATCGTCTATTTGACATATTTTACTTTATTGCATATCGTTTCAATTGGAAGTACTAGGTGAAAGTGATCTAGGTCAGGTGTACTATTCAATGAGGAATCACACAGTATCTCAGAATGTTCGGAAAATTTTCTTATTGAAAATATTACATCTCAGATGAAGACGCTGAAGGCTGACATAGATTACAATTCTCTTCATAATAATGAAGGATGAAGAATGAGTTTCTATAGACTATCGTCAATGTGAGGGATATAAGCTTACACAGAGTGTTCACAATAACTGATAGAAATAGTCAGTGAGATCTATCAAGAATCTCCAGAAAACAGAATATTCGAAAATATCTTGCCCTGTGATGATGTTCAGGTTGATTTTTGCTGACTACAACAAAAGTCGAAGCATTATTGATGTTGGAGATAAAGCGGTGTCAACAGGAGCTGCACTAATTCCACAACCCTAATCATATGATGTAAAAGTAGTATATTACAGCAGGAAGTATTCTACCGGTGATTTCAGTTTAAACATTCCCTATAAAATTTACATAAATGAAACAGAATAGTCAATACTAGATTTGGAATTTTCGGGAAGGCTGAAAGTGTAAACGTCATTATTAGCTTCCAAAGAAGAATGTGATGCTTTACTTAAAAATTTGATAGCTGTGTGTGCTACCAGTGCTACCAGTCAGATTGTTTGCCAATATATGAATAGTGGAGATTTGGAATAAAGCACAGAAACACCAACAGGAGTCGCATACAAATTAACTCGAATTACACGTCTGACGATTGTTTGTCGCATTATTTTTAGCATCATATTTACAGACTAAATCAAAGGTCTATCGATCAATTAATATACAGCTAATTGATTAGCATTCAATTCAATTGTATCGATCGTGTAAATTCAAATGTAAATTGAATGTATTAATAAGCATGCAACAGTTAGAAAAATCAGTTGAGTGTTGGATACGTAGGAGACGGCTGTTATTTGTCTTCTGCGAATTTCATTGAAAATATTGCAATAATGCAATTCATTATAATCAATGTTACTCTTTTGGTTATAATGACATTGTACAGGACAATGATTGACAAAATTATTCCAAATATCATGATGAATATGTTCTACACATTGGTGATAATATCAGTTATAGAGAAGTTAAAACATTTTGTGTTAAAAGTTGATGATTATAACGAAGCTTCTGATGCTGCTGCTGCTGCTGATGATGATGATAATGATGATGATGATGATGATGATGATGATGATGATGATGATGATGATGATGATGATGATGATGATGATGATGATGATGATGATGATGATGATGATGATGATGATGATGATGATGATGATGATGATGATGATGATGATGATGATGATGATGATGATGTTGATGATGATGATGAAGAAGAAGAAGTATATAACAATGATGAGGATGATGAGAGTGATACGGTTGTGGCGGGTGAGGATGATGAAGAGGGTGTTGAGAGTGATACTGTTGTCGAGGATGAGGATGATGGTTATGATAAAGTATGTGAAGACGATGATGATGAGGATGTTGAGGTTGATGAACATGATGATGATGATGATAAGGATGATGATGTTGAAGCGGATGGTGAAGACGATGGATATGATAAGGTTTGTGATGAGGATGATGTTGATGAGGATGATAATAATGAAGCGATTGATGAAGATTATGGATATTATGAGCTATATGACGATGATAATGATGAAAATGATGAAGCAAATGATGAAGATTATGGATGTGATGAGGTTAGTAACGATGATGAGAATGATAATTATTTTGCAGATGATGAAGCGGATGATGATGTTTATGGATATGATGAGGTTTGTGAAGATGCTGCTGCTGCTGATGATGATGATGTTGATGATGATGATGATGATAATAATAATAATAATAATAATAATAATAATAATAATAATAATAATAATAATAATAATAATAATAATAATAATAATGAAGCGAATGATGAAGATTGTAGATGTGACAAACTTTGTGTGAAGATAATGATAATGATGATGATGAAAATGAAGCGGATGATGATGAAGAGGATAAAGTAGATTATGGATATCATGAGCAATGTAACGGTGACGATGATAAAAATGATGAGGCGGATGAAGAAGATTATGTATATGATAAGGTTTGTGATGATGATGACGATGATTATGATGAAGTATATGAGACTGATGAATACTATCTTGATAATGTGGATGATGTTGATGTTGTGAATGATGATGTTAATAATAATAATAATAATTGTATTATTTATGATAATAATTTGTTTAATCTAACTAATCGTTGCAATGCGATTTGATAATAATTCTTATTTTGATTTTCTATCAATTCTCCTTTGATTGGTATAGGATGAAGGTATTCAAAGAAGGAGAATACAGAATGGAACAATTAAGAAGAATGTGATTTTGATTGTGTACAAATTTGATTTTACATTGTATAATATAATCTTAAAATAATGCACATTTGTGTTTTCATTGTGTTAATCGGTAGATAGTGAATGTGGGCAGCTTAGAGCGTACTAGTTAAAGTCTGACCACTGTGTAAGTTCAGTGAAGTGTACGAGTTGCTCGGTTGTGTAGCTGTGGTAATTGTACTAACTGATGATTCCTTCGTACGTGATTGCGCTCTGATTACGAATTGCGAATATAATACGTTGATTTGTGCTCACCTAGTTCTGAATTCATGGTCGGTTGATTGATTGCTAATATGAATATTGTCAACTTACAAGCAAAATTAATTCACAAACATATACGTTCATTGCGACAAATTAAAATACTATGTAGTAACTATGGTGCAGTGAATGAGCTTGATTTCCAGTCAAGTCTATTTTCGGAGACGAGATGAGTTATCCACTACTCCCGATGGTATTTTGTGGTCAAGTGATGGCGTTGTTATTCTTCATCCATTACTTAAATCTGTCCTTCCAGATCTTCATAGTGGAAATTTGTTGGTTGAGAATATGAGTTTATTTTATTCATCGGTTAAATTAACAACATGAAACAAAACAAGAGAATTGAAGATAAAAACTATCAAATACATCATCACAGATAATGGTTACAGGGATAATTGAAAGACAAGTACTACAGTTCTATTGTATAGAAATCAATCTGACCACTCTGCAGGCAACACATAATTTTCACAGGATCTTTATTGAAAGTGACCAACTTCTTAATCTGCTCACCAGTTGGATAAATTTTGATCTGATCTGATCCAATAGACAGAATAAAACAAATACATCAAAATGTTTAAAAATCAATTGAAATGACAAATCACTAGTTGTGTCATAGTGTGTCTCATTCTTCTATTATAAAAATCACTTAAAACAAACAAAGAAATCGGCATTCTACAATATATTGCACTATAATTAAGCAAGCAATCATCATCGCACTCGCACACGCACACACACACACACACATTGAAAAAAATACAACCTAGTACTTCTAGAATGATAAGTGGGCAGATTTTTATGGAATTTTGGAATCACAAACACCAAGTGTTAAATACTTATGCATCGAATCAAACTTTGAATGTTTTTTTTCTTTTTACTGAGAATCGATCACGAGAATAATAAGACTAGGCGGTAAAACGATGGATGAATGCATTAGAATAGATCACTATACAACACATTAGCATTATCGACAAGCAACTGACAGAGAGTTAAATCAGTGGAAGTCGTGTTTTATCGTTAATATTGTTACATGTCTATGTGATTCATTCGGACTTTTGAATAGATGAGTTATTCTATTATTTTCTATCATTATGTCACTTATACTTGTGACCTTTAGTATATTAATCAAAGTTCAAATTAAGCACAAATCTTAACGCTTATGTTATAGTGGAATTTACCTGAGATTAATCAAACTAAATGAGATGTACATACTATCATTTCCATCAAATTGTATGACATCGATTTTGGTTTACAGTAAATTGTCTACACATCCTTCTTCCGTCTCTACAATTCCACTATTCAAGTCATCATTACGATTCATTCAAGAGAACACTTGACATTCACAGAAGCATACTAGAAAAGGAATAATATGGGATGTAGGATTTCTGTCCTAACTACACAAATCTAAAATCTAAATCACATTTGAAGTACTGACAATTTATTTTCAGTATTGACGAACCATTACAATTTCGATACAGATTAATAAATTGTTGCTGATCAATTACATGAATGCAAATACATCTTGATGGCGATTACCATCTGTAATGAGACTTCATGCTTCACAGTTTCACTTTGTACTGATGTATTCTAATTGAAAATGATCTTTTTTTTACAACTAAACATACCTGACAATATTTCCATGGTTGTGACATTTAATAGTGTTGTAGTCTGAAGAATAATTCATTCATTATTTACACAGCTAGTTCCTGACTAACTTAGATATGAATGGGGAGAGATGAAACAGATTTTGTAGGTAGATTCATTCTCAACAATCTGATAATGGTGTTAATAAATGATGGATATTCTGTCGACAACCAAACTGCTTCAGACAACATTATGTAGGTGACCAATCTAATTAAACTATCAAATTCATGGGATATTTTACAATGAGTTTAATTGAATTCTTACTGGCAATTACTTTTAATGATACAATATCTTATCATGCTTACGTGTGTTATTCTGAATTTTGAACAGATTAATTACTGTTATAATTTATATTTTGCTAATAAACGACCCAGCTATTCCTATTGCTTAGTATTCTTATACAATGACACTCGACAAGACCCCAAAATCAGAACACGTTGAACAGGAATGAAATTGTATTCACAAATAACAATGGTATGTGAACAGCAATCACTGATTTGAATAACGTTCTTATATTTATATTATATACATAAGAAGCTTCTAGATTTTTCTCCAATAATTTGCCCTGGCTGATCGGTTTAGAATTAGCCAATCAGCGCGTAGCAACACCATCATGCATGAAACATGCTTTAATCCAATCTATGTCCCGCTAACACCTCCCCCTTGAGCAGATTCGTAGGATCTGGTGCTAGGGTCCAACTGCAACCGAGTGACTGGCCTGCGCTTTCGATCTGTCCATCGTCTAGGCAATAAGGAAGTTGTATCACTCTTTGCTTGCACAGAAAATGACTTGTCTGTTCCGGGCGTTTTGATTTCAAAGGTGTCTAGCAGAACGTCAAGAGTTATTCGATGTCGATTCTCGCTGCTGGCTATCGAAGTTGCTTTCAGTTGGTTAGCATGACGTATCCAAACTTCTGAGTCAACTGACACCTCATAAACCATATTCCCTTTCTTTCTCACGATCCGACCAGCTGTCCACGTAGGATGTTTACCACGATAGTCCATAGCAAGTACCTTTTGACCCGCCGTGAACAATCGTCTTTGTGCCCCATGGTGTCGATTGAACTGCTTCTCCATCAATAAGTTCCGTTGGGGCTCACGAGCTGGCGTCGAACGGATGACATCGAAATGTGTCCTTACTTTTCAGGTCATTAATACCACTTCTAACCCAATTGCCTCTTCAGGTACCTTGAGAAGACTGAGGTCATCTGGGCTCGGTGACTTCTAGAGTTTCAAGTGTTGGAATTCCTCGTGGACTTCCGCCTCATTGGGTGGATCAGTTGTTACAGGCCATGAAGGGAACGACAGTCAACTTACAAGCAAAATTAATTCACAAACATATACGTTCATTGCGACAAATTAAAATACTATGTAGTAACTATGGTGCAGTGAATGAGCTTGATTTCCAGTCAAGTCTATTTCCGGAGACGAGATGAGTTATCCACTACTCCCGATGGTATTTTGTGGTCAAGTGATGGCGTTGTTATTCTTCATCCATTACTTAAATCTGTCCTTCAAGATCTTCATAGTGGAGATTTGTTGGTTGAGAATATGAAATTGCTAACAAGGCTCACGTGTTCGTGGTCTGAAATAAATCCAGATATATATGGTAGAGAAAACAATTGTGGAAGATGTGATAAGTCGGAGAGTCGTACTTCGAAGTGTACTCCATGACAAGTATCGTCTGAGTACTGGAGAAGAAGAATTCATGCAGACTATTGTGGTTTATTTATTATTGTGGTTTATTTTGTAGGTGGATTACATGTATAATATAGTAGTGGTGTTCCAGTGTCTGCTAGGGATCCCACAAATTTCCAACATCAAGTGAGTTCAAATGTGATTTAATTGTATATTGGAAAACCAATGCTTTTCTGTGTGTTAATAACAGTAGTAATAACAATAACAATAATGATAGCATTCTCAAGTTAGGAAGTTCTGTTGAATACCTTGTCAAGTCCACCGAAGTTGAGCATCAGGAGTGGGTAACAGACACAAACTGTCATGACTTCTCCTTAGGTATATTGTTCTGCAAAAAACAATCGTTCACCTGAATAAAACTCACATTCATGGTGTTTAACACAGCACGAACTGCAAAGTGTCAGTTCAGACAAATAGGAAACTGACCAATCCATGTGGTTGAACGAGTAGGGAATACATTAAGCAATCAATAACTGATTAGTTAGAGATCAATCAGTGAAATACACTAAGAGAATTGTGCAACTCACTTCTAGTTACTCGTAAGTAGTGTGTGTAGATGTCATACACAAATCTCTCAAATTTAAACCATCATACAAATCGTTCACATTCACAAATAAATCATGCACAAACTAACTATACATTCGTACATCTGTCTTTCATTATTTCGACTCAGTTTACTATAGATATTCTCCATCGAAAGAAAGATTGCTTGATTCTTCAATTTCATTCGAATTATTATTATTATTATTATTATTATTATTATATTTTTGTAGCACTGGACATTTGGGGATGTTAGTTTCGAGATCCTCATGTTACCTTCCACTGATCGAATCATCCCGTGTCGATTGTAATGCGGTAGTATTTCGTTTGCCAAGTATTTATTTCACTGTGATATGTAGACATAGTTATTTATGCAAACGACTCGGTTGATAAATTGATCACGCGAATTCGATCAGTGTTATGGACTAGGACAAAGATAACAATGGGCACTGCTATGTGACCAATCAATTGTTTGAATTTTCGTATGGCTAAGGCTTCAATAAACCACAGTATACGCCCATTTACACTTTTAAACAACACAACAAAAGCCGAGTTAAGATCAATCTTATGACCTGTTTCGATTATATGTTTGGCAATAGAAGATGATGGATGTTTATCCTCTACTCCTTTTGGGTCATTCGACTCTATTCGTTTTTTCAACCATTTTGGTACATGTTCACCCACACTAATTTTCAGATCACCATTGCTCCTCCCTACGTATGTGTGACCACACACACACACACACACTGAGAGACATACATTTAAATTGGTAAACGCAGTGGGATGTGACACAATCGTTTTCATGTCGTCTACGTTTTGAATGAAGCATGGACTTCGTTCCTTCTTTGATTATGACCTTCGCTGAACAATACGTTTTGTTGATGACAGACAGAATTAAGCCTTTGTTTCAATGAAAGGCTATTTGAATCACCTCTAAATGGTAAGGTGATGTAGACAGGCTTTTTCTCTACCAAGACTACAGTAGGTCACACTGTGTCCTGAGATTTCCATCTATTGATAAATTTACGAGGACAACCATTCCCGATTAGTGTCTTGGTGTAAAGCTAAACTGGTAGATATAGCACACCAATTTGATAATGTTGGACCAAAGCAGAGAAGCATGTTAACTTCTCAACATTTTAAATCACTAAAAGAACTACGAACAAACACTGATATTGTCTTGTTGAAGCCTGATAAAGGATCAGGCGTGGTTATCATGAACAAATGTGAATATAATGTTATAATATAATGTTATCCATCCTCAGTGATGAAAGTAAATTCATGCTTGATGTTCAATTGGGAGGTATTAACAAACTCATAGGGAAGAGTAAATTCAAACCTGGAAAAATTGTTACACATGAATATTATTAATAAAGAGGAAATGAATTTCTCAAAACCTATGGGTTCTGAGTATCCTCATTTATATCTGAACTACCCGAAATTCATAAATTAAATACTCCTTTACATGCAATTTTATCAATGTGCCGATCACCCACACATAACCTAGCCAAATGGCTAACAAAATTATTCCATCCTATTCGAAGACGTTTATGTAAGTATTCTGTAAAGGATTCTTTTCAATTGGTCGATCATTTCGGTGACATTAATATCAAAGGAAAAACTATGTGCTCATTTCACGTGAATTCCTTATTCACGTCAAATGTACCTTTAAAAAAGACTATTGACATTTTATGTGACTATATATTTTCAAACAACCTTAAATTACCTATCACCTTAAAAATTCTTAAAGATTTATTACTTTTATGTACTGATAATGTTCAGTTGAGTTGAGTTGAGTTTTGAAGGCGAATACTTTGGTCAGGTTGATGGGGTTGCTATGGGTAGTCCGTTAGGACCATTACTATCCTTGTCTACTCTTACTCTCCCCCTCCATTCCCAGTCTAGTTGACCTTCTACTTTTCATATATAAATGTTCTGAACAAGTATATTATGTGTGATCAGATTGTTCGAAATGTATTGCACTAATATTGCACTATCACATAGTTCTGATGATAATCTTCGTCTTCTTATTACATTATCGAAACAATCTTATAGTAAGGAATACTACTTCTGGAATTATAACGTTATTCTGTATTCATATAAAAGACACATAAATGACACACAATATAATGGGAAATCGAACAGAATTACATACGATGTGCTTGCGCAACACTCTCCTCCTGTGTATTTATGGGAGCTGAGAGAAAAGCAACAACACACCTGAATCAAGTATGCTTAAGCAAAGTGTGGAAAACCTATCTACAAAGCAGTTATCGTTTGTGTGTGCATCTACGAAACTCGTTAATTTGACGGTACCCTATTTTAATTGTCTTCCTTTAGGCTGTACACAACCGAGTGACGTCAGATTTCACCATACAGTTAATCAAGTAGTCAGTCAAAATCTACGTACAGGTAGAGCTGAAGCGGCCATACCGAACCAGAAGTATCAGGAATTATTACAGTAGCGATGATAGTGAGAAAGACCACATACTGAGAGCATGGCTCAGAGAAGAAGAAATCTAAACGTTTGCAAGATTGAACACATAAATATATAAATTTGTATATATACTGTCTAGCGAGACCCAGAAATCTGACTTTGTCGCTTTACTTACATTTTTATCAATCACATCACATGAAGAATATTCTAGGATAATTAGTCAGTGTCATACTCACACGAATCATTGGTGTGGACATTATCCTCACTTACAAAACACTGATTGGACTGGATACAGTCACAGTGTGATGAGTAATACCGATGTCGACAAATATAAGTAGTATGTATCATCAATGGAATATATATATATATATATATATACCGAGACCAAGAAATCTGACATTGTGAATTTACATAGATGTTCATGTCTGTATGGTCCTGAAAATTGCTGACAATAGACATGACAAGCTCATAAAAAATTAGGAAGCATTTTGTCCAATCAGCATTTGATTTGTTCGGTTGCGTAGCTGTCGTACACTTCACTGGCCTTACACAGTGGTCAGACTTTTACTAGTACGCCCTATGCTGTCCAAATTCACTATCTACCCGTTGGCACATTGAAAACACAAATGTGGATTGTTTTAAAATTATATTATACAATGTAAAATCAAATTTGTACAAGATAAGAATCACATTCTTCTTCACTGTTCCTTTCTAATATTCTCCTTCGTTGAATGCCATCATCCCATACCTATCAAAGGAGAATAGATAGAAAATACAAATAATCATCATTTTCAAATTACATTATAACGTCTATTTAGATTACAATAATTAGTACAGTAAACGAAAAAATAAACAACATGCATGATACCTTATTGTGACAACTATCAACCTTAATTATTATTATAACGCTCATCATGATAATTAAGATACTAGACAGCTAATCGTAGACATGATGATCGTCACAACATATAGTGCAACAGTCACCATAACCTTTAATACAATATTTGTATATTTCTGTATAACTGATTTAATCAAACTACAGATGAAAATGGATAACATAATATTTTGTATAATGGTCCCAATTATAGTTTTCATCTCCATCAGTATAACGAAAACAATAATGCTGAGTAATAGTATGGTCATAATTTTAATATATGTACAAATGATATAGACAGAAAATCGCAGAGGACAAATAAACAGCCGTCCACTGCGTGTCCGACTCTCAACTGATTTTTATGACTGTTGCATGCTAATTAATACATACAACTTACATTTGAGTTTACACGATCGATACGAGTCGAGTGACTGCTAATCAATTAGCTGTATATTGATTGATCGATAGACCTTTGCTTTAGTCTGTAAATATGATGATAAAAATAATGCGACAAACAATGGTCAGACGTGTAATTAGAGTTAATTCGTATGCGACTCCTCTTGGTGTTTCTGTGCTTTATTCCAAATCTCCACTACTCATATATTGGCAAACAATCTGACTGGTAGCTTGTCTATCCGTCAATGTGTAGTGTATTCAGAAGTTTATGTTCATTTAGTGGATAAATAAAATGTGACAAAAGATTATTTTGAAAAGTGTTTCCATTGTAAGCCATTTTGTTGACGAATATAAACACTTTATACGACCGGTTGGAATGAGTTACTCCTGATATGCTCTTAGTGAACATATTTATTGGTTTCGGTTTATCTGGAGACATAGTAGTTCGTTGTTTTGAGGTAATACTAATATATTGGTGTTATGGTGAATGAGAACGAACAAGTGGGACAAGCAAATATATTCGAATACAGAACGCAAACTTGATCAAATGGTTCAAGTGGTTGAGGACGGAATAGAAGAAGCTTTTGCTTAACGGGATTCCGTTTCTAATAGCAGTGGATCGCCAATACCTCCAGGGAAAAAAAGAATTTGGTAAATCATGATAATACGTTATCCTTGGTCCCTAAGAACAAGTCAAGTTTCCTCTTAAAAGACTCATGGGAAGTCGCTTGGACTAGCTCAGTCGGCAAAATCAATAGCTCTTTAAGTGTTCGACATTGGATGCTGACCACATTATTGTAAGTGGACTTGTTTAACTGAAGGCGTTCGGTCGTGCATTCCGAGACCTGACTACCCGAAAACCCTTAATCCTAAGGTTCTTTTCGCCGTTTAGCTTTCGAGTTTTTAACTCTGTCAGGGCATTCTTCCACTTGATCCGATCCTCAAGTGGCCAGTCTGGTCGAAGACGAATATTTGAATCACGAATTTTGCGTGCGTTATTCAATACTACGTCTCTTTACTCAAAATAACCGAATATTAATTTTAAGATCTTTCTTTGTTGGGTCTCGCCTCCAACATATTTACCGAGTCTGATTACTTTCATGATATGTACCCCTGAGACCTCTTCGGGCAGTTCATTTCTGATGACAGATCGCAATAACTGCAGATTGTGGGCATGTCTCTTGGCAGGGCCGTTGTCTTTCGATTCTTCTAGATTCCAAATGATTACAATAGGGACCTGTTTAACTTATTTAAAAGTCGTGTTCACGGCTTTCGACCGTGATGTCAGGTCCTGCATGTTAGCTACTGACTTCTTACTGCTAGCTTTCCTTTTAAAAGTGTCGCATGAGTCGAGCGAGTGGCTCACAACAAAATTTGGTGAAGCCGAACTGTTCCCATCCACGATAGAGCTAACTATTTTCTTACTTTTGGACTTTAGCGGAGTGACCTGATACGGAGGACGTCAGTCCAACAAGGACTTGCCGACTATACGCGCGTTCACTTTAGGTATGTTTCCTTCTCTTTTACGTTTCCGCGTTATCAATTTCCCACCAGTCTCAGCATCCAGATTAGAACTACTCGGGACGACAGTGGTTCTAGCCGGGTCATCAGTCACTGCTGAAGCAACTTGTCTATCAATATCTAATGGCGTGTCTCTCATTAGTTGTTTCGGAGTAGAAAGTTCTGCTTCTTGTTGCACCATTGGGTGTCTGGCAGACGCCATGGCAGCATTTACGACACTGATACAATCTTCGTTATCAGTATCCATGTTGCCGGTACGGCCCTCGTCGACCTTTTTGTTAGCTAATGTTAGAAGGCTAATTGTTTCTTGAATGAGTAATGTTTTGCTTGAACAACAACGAACATACAGAGCGAATGATAATTGGGCTTTGAGCACCTTTTATAGGAAGTAGAAGTTAAGCGGGAGCACATTTTGTGGAACCACTTCTTACATTCATCACATTGCATCCCATCTTCCACAGAGAATAAGCAGTATGGCTGTCCACACTCGTGTGCAGAGCTGACCATCTTAAAATGAACCAAAATGATAGACAAAATGGATATGTTAGACAAATCACAACCTTGATCAAATAAATCAAGTCGAAGTCGACCAAGAATGCTTTGATGCAATAAATACACAAAAGCAAGATCAAAATACACAAATACAATATCACGTTAACTGAAATAAATTCAATTAAAATGTAAACAGTAGTTTTTATGCGTAATTTACGACCAAAATAGTGAATTTAACTCGACGAGAAAGAATACCACTGTCCTTTTAAATAGCGCGCCTTTAGTATTGGTATTAGAAATTTTTATCGATTGAATATCAAGTTAATTTACCGCTTCGTAGTTAATACATGCAGTTCTAGCATCTTGAAAGGAACAGTTCGACATTCTTAACAGATTCTTTTACAGACCTGGAATATTAATTCCTACAGTTAATCGACCACTCAGCTGTACATGAAGTTGATCACCAAAATTGCATTTGGCAGCTTGTCTTTGCAATTCAAGGATGAATTCCTTAACGTTTTGGTTATTCTGACGAATCATCTTATGTAATTTTGCTTTCTCACGACATTCAAAACTGGTGCACTTCACATGATTTAATAGTAATTCCTTGAGAGTTGTATATGGGAGCGAGATCGCCAAGGTTTTTAGTGAACTGTAGGCTTCTTAACCGATGAATGTCAGAAAATGTGCCACAATTTTGTCACCCTTCACGTCTTTCTTAGTCACGATCCATATCTCAAACCTTTAAAAATAATCCTCAAAAGCTTCAGAAGTTGGATGAATGTACAACTGTTGTATCGCGGGCTCCATTGTGACGCCAATATGGTAATCAGAAGTATTTGAATTGTAGTATCAACTAGCAATCCCAGGAATAACGCAATGTAATCAAGAAGTATTAGATGAGCACACGCGAATGTATTGTATTCGGAATCCAAAATTAAAACAGTCATCAACACAAAGAAAGCATTGATTCGTTCAAACATCACACCTTCATAGAACTAATCTTTATCGTCGTCGTTGCTATCATTGGTGAGTGCATAACATTTGACAACATTCATTATGATCCCCCCTTCTTTGTTTTCAATGATACTTTGATTATCCTGGATCCATGAGATTCCCATCCTATAAGTGCGTTTCGTGCTTCTCTAGACAGTATTACAACAACTCCCTGAGTGTGTGGAGCATTTTCCCCTTCGTGACCGGGGTACAACAGCACCTCTCTCGTATCTATCCTTTGTTGTCCAGCTTGTGTCCAATGGCTTTCGCTGATTCCGAGTACTGCCAATTTGCATCTCATTTCCATTGCTATTTGACTGGTCTACCAAATTGTCCGAACGTTCCATGTACCTATAGAGTGTTGCTCTGGTTGTTAGAAAGGACATATAACTTGTGACTTCCGAAAAATGTCGGCTTTCATCATGAGGCTTCATGATTATTCCTTCAACTCCCAACGCAGAGTTTAAATGGTTAGCGTTTGACTTGTGGCGGACCAAAAAGCATGTTAACCAAAATAGCAATGAAAGAATATTACGTCCAAAGTTTATGCAATAACAAACAGTTTATAAGTTATTAACACACACATAAAAGTCAGGGACGTTACTTAAATTGACTGGCGGTTGCGTGTTCAGTTGGGTTTGGTACCAGTGATCCACAATTATAGAAGATTAATAATTCCAATATGGACGATATCGCTCCAGTAAGTTTACCAAGCGTAGAATGCAATACGAATGTCACAATAGTCTATAAATGTAGATGATAGTCAATTAATAATTCATTTATCATGTTTGCAGGCATATTAGAACGAGGCAGATATGTATTAAAGTGTATTTATTGATGAGCAGTTACAATGTCGTACTATGTGGGATTCAAAACGGAAGGAACTCAATTAACGAGTGTTCAGGGTCATAAACTTAAACAACATGTACAACTGTTTAGTGCTAAATGTACAGAATATGAAAATACACAAAATACATGCAAAAACAATGAAAAATTGTTTACAACATAGGTTTAATAGTCCTATCTCCACAATATTTATCCTGAGAGGTTGAAGAAATATCTCAACCACCATTTGCAACATAATCTCTACGAACAAGTTCAGCCTGTATGGAATGAATAGGAGTACATTTTGAAGGCAAAAAGGCAGACGAAGAAGTAACACGTTGAAGAAGTTGAAGATGAACAGAGCTGAACAACAAACAACTCAATAAATTCATTGGAACCAGTTAACTGAAGCTGCTCATTGAGACATGAAATAAGAAGGATTAGTTAGGATCTAAAGATTTCAAGTTCTTGAAAGTAATAATGAACTCTATACTACCTTTGTTCACAATAAAGTCATGTAGTGAACAAAGGGATGTATATAGTCGCTTTTGAATATGAACATTACCTTGCGAAGTGGTGGACAAAGATAAATGATTATTAGGAACAGACGAATTGTCGGGATCTAAGCCTCATGGGAAGTCGCTTGGATTAGCTCAGTCGGCAACGAATTCCAGAATTTGACAACTCTTACGGAGTAGAAGTTGTGACTGCAGTCTGTCCCGCTATGTTGGGTCTACATTTTCTAGGTGTTACCTCTTACGTTAGATTATTTGGGATGCCTGAAGGTCGAAGAGCTTGAAAGTGCTAAGCGTAAGGTCTTAATGGTAGTCCAGAATGAGGTCTGTGGGAGATTACTCAGTGAATTTAATGACAGCAGTAATGTGAATAGTCAAAATGATCTGAAGCGTTTATCGCCTATAATGCTCGACGGTTTACTATGTGTTGGAGGTCGTCTAAACTACTCCGATTACCCTAATGACTTCAAGCATCCAGTAATATTATCTAGTCGTCACTTTGTGACAGAAATGATAGTCAGACATTATCATAAAGAAGAGGGACACTCAGGGACTTCTCAAGTACTTGCCGCAATCCGAAAATACTATTGGATAGTAAAGGGGACCAGCACAGTCAGGAGAGTGATAGGTAAGTGTGTAATCTGTCGACGGTATACAACGAGCTCAGGACAACAATTGATGGCACCGCTTCCCGCATGTAGAGTGAAACCGGGCTGGCATAGTTTCTAAATTGTAGGCGTTGATTACTTCGGACCTATTTTAGTCAAAAGGGGAAGGTCACTAGAAAAGAGGTATGGGTGTATATTTACTTGTTTGCAAACACGTGCAGTGCATATTGAAATGGCTTATGGTTTGAATAAAGATTCATTTGTGATGGCCCTGTTACGTTTTATGGGAAGAAGAGGAAAGCCCTCAGAGATTTATAGTGATAAGGGGTCGAACTTCGTGGGTGCAATATCTGAACTAAGGAAATATGTTCGGCAGTGGGACCAACAAAGTATAAAAGGTTGCTCCTTCTCTAACTGCTCCTCGTTGTTACGTAATAACGCAGGTCACCAACATCTTAAAGTCCTTTTGTTCACTTCAAAAAGAAAGACGAATACAAGTCCCACAAACTGACCTCAGAATCCTTCATAAACATGTTCATCTTACACTCATTTAAGAGAAAAAATCTTGGACTACGTCTCCCTACCATAAGGAGAATTTTATTCTCTTGGAAATTCTTGAAAGAATGTGCTCGGAATAAAAGTACATAATACCCATCCTTCTAGTAAAACATCGGATGATAAACAGGCAACTAACCATTAGGTACCATACTATTCACGATTACACCCACCCCGTTGGACCGTCGGCAAAACTCAGTGATCTATTAGACTCATGAGGACATCCGCTAATGAAAAAGCACGAATAAGTTCCAATAAAAGTTTGTGTGGACTCTCTCGCCATTCTAAACAATAATTCATGAAACTGCCTATAAGGAATCGAAGTGATGGAATGTTTTGACAAGTCTTTGAAAACAAGGCTCAATGATTATCTCAATTCTGTGAGTGTTAAGGGGGATTACACTACATTTTACATCTCTATCACTGGTAATACTCGCTTGTTCGTTTTGTCCTTCAGTTTGCGGAGTGAATATGAAAAATTTTAATTGTCTCTCTACTAAATTTTACATTGAAACCAATCTGCTACCTGGTATTGTGATATCTGCTGGCTCCAGAAATCCAGCTGTTCTGAGACAAACATACTCACTGAGAATACGAGGTCCATGGACCTACAAATAATTTTTAAGTTGACAGGGACTAGTGTAATCAAGTGACTGGATCATCCCTCTTTAGATATCGTCAAACACCTGGAACTGTACTGAAACAACAAGAAGCGAGCGCAAATTATTCGATCGGTTTGTGTAAACTCGTTACTAAGATTGGGAATATTGAATAACTCTCCATCTTTATTGCAATATTTTACTACTACCAGGGTGCAAATCTTGAAAAACTGAAGTTCATCAACTCTGTCTAACAAACTTTGAATTTCGAGGTTTGGTTTGTTTTGTTTCCTTATTTTGAAGGTCAACTAAGGTTCTTAAGTCACTTCACGGTTTTGTAATTGGTCTTACACACATAAAATTCCGTTGTTCTGGGTTTCTAACTGCTTCTTACAAAGTTAGTTACATTCATTCCTATTTTAATAATATTGATGTTCAGTATTCACCGAGCCAAACTTAAGATTATGCAGAACTAATTATGGTGTTTAACACATGCCTACAATTGTTTATAGTACCCTATTTTCCTATTTTGGGGAAACCACCGTAAAAAAACTTTAAGGAAACATCACAAAATCCCAAACATTTTCTAAGGCCTGTGAAAAGTCCTCAAAGTTTTTAGGAAAAACCGCAAGATTTCTCCAAGGTAGTGATATCGGGACTGGTAATTCTGACAATGAAAGTACATCAGTTGATGAGGCTCAGAGCCTTTTAAATTAGCTTGTGAACTCCATAGATCTAGTTACCTTTTTAATGAGAATAATTGTTATCTCGCTCTTAGTTCAATTTACTTTTCTGGGAAATAATGCTTCAAAATATTATTAGTAACATAAATAGGAAAGACAATGATAACTATAGTCATTGCATCATTAGCCACGTCAGGAGTAATTAATATTTCACATCATGTTATCCTTTTTCACTTCAGCTGCATTTTAGTGCGGTATTCACTGCCTTAACAGGTGCTTAAATGACGTTCATAAAATTGCATGTATTCACTTTGCTCGACAGACTGATAGTTTTATTGTTAAAACCCACTGAATTTGACTTTACTGCTGCACTTTTGAACTTGTAGCCTTATGAGTTGCTGATAATGTTCTAAATCCATTCACAGTCGAGTAGTGACTGTTTTCGTCATCAAATAACTTTTCTTACCCTTCAGTTTCATTTTTTTGTGAATGACTAGTCATCAGTTATGCTAACTTCGCAAGCTAGAGCCAGTTGGCGAACCTTATGATTGCTTAACCAGATTTAATTCCTGATGTTTCCGTGTAAAGGAATATAACTACTAAGGGAACGATGCAATCAAAGTAATTGATAGCATCTATATTTATGATCGGTTTTTGGTGGTATAATGATTATTGTAATCACACTACCTTGTGTTTAACATATTTATACTTCATATGAACATTCAAAGTATTATTTGCTTTTTTTATAAAATTTTTATCAGTGGGTACACGTTTTTCTTAAACAAAGAAACGGGTCAAAGATTGTAGTATACTGTCAATCAATCAGTAAATTCTCAGTTTTCTCTTTTTAAGATTTTTATTGATGGTTTGGATGAAAATATCCAGATCAGTATGTACAGGCTTCAAAACGCGTATTTACTTAGGTCTTGTTGAATATATGCGATCAAGGATACATTTTACCACCAGTTAACTGTTCTTTTTCAGAAAGTGTGTCCGACAAAACTGAATGCTCAGGTCGGGTGTCTAGGCACAGAAGAGAGTCGTTTAGGTGGCCGATGGGGACGTTGGTCGCAGGTCAGATATCGGGGGTCGTTCACTGCAACTGTGCGCAGACCGAAACCTGTTTCTGGCTGGCACTAACTTCCGGCATATTCATCGCCAATATGCCACCTGGCGTCCATCATTTTCATTTAGATCATTTTCAATTAGAATACATCAGTACAAAGTAAAACTGTGAAGCATGAAGTCTCATTACAGATGGTAACCGCCATCAAGATATATTTGCATTCATGTAATTGATCAGCAACAATTTATTAATCTGTATCGAAATTGTAATGGTTCGTCATTACTGAAAATAAATTGTCAGTACTTCAAATGTGATTTAGATTTTAGATTTGTGTAGTTAGGACAGAAATCCTACATCCCATATTATTCCTTTTCTAGTATGCTTCTGTGAATGTCAAGTGTTCTCTTGAATGAATCGTAATGATGACTTGAATAGTGGAATTGTAGAGACGGAAGAAGGATGTGTAGACAATTTACTGTAAACCAAAATCGATGTCATACAATTTGATGGAAATGATAGTATGTACATCTCATTTAGTTTGATTAATCTCAGGTAAATTCCACTATAACATAAGCGTTAAGATTTGTGCTTAATTTGAACTTTGATTAATATACTAAAGGTCACAAGTATAAGTGACATAATGATAGAAAATAATAGAATAACTCATCTATTCAAAAGTCCGAATGAATCACATAGACATGTAACAATATTAACGATAAAACACGACTTCCACTGATTTAACTCTCTGTCAGTTGCTTGTCGATAATGCTAATGTGTTGTATAGTGATCTATTCTAATGCATTCATCCATCGTTTTACCGCCTAGTCTTATTATTCTCGTGATCGATTCTCAGTAAAAAGAAAAAAAACATTCAAAGTTTGATTCGATGCATAAGTATTTAACACTTGGTGTTTGTGATTCCAAAATTCCATAAAAATCTGCCCACTTATCATTCTAGAAGTACTAGGTTGTATTTTTTTCAATGTGTGTGTGTGTGTGCGTGTGCGAGTGCGATGATGATTGCTTGCTTAATTATAGTGCAATATATTGTAGAATGCCGATTTCTTTGTTTGTTTTAAGTGATTTTTATAATAGAAGAATGAGACACACTATGACACAACTAGTGATTTGTCATTTCAATTGATTTTTAAACATTTTGATGTATTTGTTTTATTCTGTCTATTGGATCAGATCAGATCAAAATTTATCCAACTGGTGAGCAGATTAAGAAGTTGGTCACTTTCAATAAAGATCTTGTGAAAATTATGTGTTGCCTGCAGAGTGGTCAGATTGATTTCTATACAATAGAACTGTAGTACTTGTCTTTCAATTATCCCTGTAACCATTATCTGTGATGATGTATTTGATAGTTTTTATCTTCAATTCTCTTGTTTTGTTTCATGTTGTTAATTTAACCGATGAATAAAATAAACTCTATTATTAGTGATTACCTCGAAAAAAATTGTATGAGTATGGGATGAATTGATTTTCACTACTTTTTCGATGATTAGTCTTTCATGATCACAAACCGACTTTACATATGCAGATACGATGAAAACTGGGTTGGATTTGATGAAACAGAAGTTTATGGGTCGAAAGTTCATCATAACTCTCCTCTGATCATAATAATACTAGTACTAATAGTGTTCTCATTAGTGACCATTTTTGAAATAGATCTCTAAAGTCTAAATAGTGAACGTCTCTCGAAATAAATGTTAATGACAGCGAAAAACACAGCTAATGATTCTCACAGCGTTTGTGAATATCCTTGTTCAGCAACAGTAAGTTTGCGTGAAACACGGATAACTGTTATGCCTTCTTGTTTCAAAACTCCACCAATACTCACTGTTTATGTATCAGTATGAAGTACAGGATGTACATTTAAAGTGTAAGTTCGAAGAACAGAATCATTCGAAAGAAGCTTTAGTAGATATCGAGAGCATGACTCTTGTTCCTCACCCCATTTAAATGAATTGAATGTCAAAATTTGAAAAAACACAATTGGCAGGATAAGAAAAATTGGGAATAAAACGGAAATAATATTGAAGAGCACCCACCAGTGGACGTAGTTCTGTAAGTTTTTTCTGAGATGGTGCATTTGTCAGCGAACTTAGTCTTTGTATATCTATAGTAAAACGTATACCGTCAACTAGGTATCCAAGACATTCAAAACTAGAAACACAAAATGAACACCTACTTCGATTCACCGTCATATTCTTCTCAAGTAAACGACGCAATAAAGCTATAAGTCTCTGATCATGAATTGGCCAGTTTATCAGAACCATGAATAATAAGATCATCTTGATAAACTTCAACACGTTTAAGATCACTGACTTCCTTATTCATCACTTCCTGAAATATGACTAGAGAACAACTTAGGCCAAATAAAGAAAGCTCTATTTGAACAGAACAGAAGGAGTGTTAATAGCTGGCAAAATAGATGAAGATTGATTTAGGTGATTTGAAGATAAGCGTCTTTAAAGTCAACTTTCACGAACACTTTAGAACTATGAATTCAATTAGGAATACCTAAAGATTCCCCCATCGTGCATGTTTGCTTTAATAAGCAGTAGTTCATTGTTCATCTGTAGTCACCACAAATTCTACGGGTGTTGCCATCAGAATTCAAGGACGTAACAATAAGAGTACCACATATAGAAGAATGAATCGGTCCAATTATACGTTTCTCACACAAATCGTTGAACGTCTTATAAAGTGTTCTTTTGGAAGACCATAAGGAATCATTAGTCTCTTGAGAAAGACTGGATCATCCTGTACTGTAAGTTTTGTAGGCTGCATTTTCATCCCTCCACTGCACTAAGCACACGCAACTATCAAACCTTTAACTGAAACATCAGAGTCTTCTTTAGAAAGTAATGAAAACAACTCCACTTTAGGCCTTTTCACATTTTGCTAGTCCAGTATTCACAGCCCTACTTCACATTTTTCCACGTGGATCGGAACCGTTCTTAAACAAACGCGAGCTTGTACGACATTCAGGATGTTGTTCATCACGACGACTAACCGAAGTATTAAAAATGTTCATTGACTAGAAATCAAGCTCATTCACTGCACCATAGTTACTACATACTATTTTAATTTCTCGGAATGAACGTATATATTTGTGAATTAATTGTCTTTGAAAATTCAGAATATTTATATTAGCAACCAACCGACCATGAAGTTGAGTTTCCAATTGTTTTCAAAAATTGCACTTCGAGTACTGTTTCTGTAGTTCAAGCGTAAGGTCTTCAACTTTCTGATCATTTTGTCGCATCATCTTATGGAACTTCTATCTGTTTCTGCATTTAAAACTAGCACATTGCACATGACTATGTAGTGATTCCTTGAGAGATTCACATGACAATAAAATTGGTTTTTGTGGAAAAGCCATATACTTGAGCAGGTTCTAAGTTTCTTTGATGGTGACAACCAGCAAATAAGCTGTGAATCCATCATTGTTAATATCTTTTCCGTTCATGCACCAGAATTCACATCGCTCCATGTGGTCTTCAAACTTATCCGCACTTGAACTAATATCCAACAATTTGAGAATTGGATCAATCGCAACGTCAGTATTATAATTAGAAGTATTCGAATTAATGTACTGAAGAGGAAATTCCGAAACAGTCTTATTTAAGGCAGTCAGAACATGGTGAGCACAAACGAACGTGTTATGTTCGCAATTGGTAATCAGAGCGCAATCACGTACGAAGGAATCATTAGTTAGTACAATTACCACAGCTACATAACCGAACAACTCGTACATTTCACTGACCCTACCCAGTGGTGAGACTTTTACAAGTACGCCCTATGCTGCCCACATTCACTATCTACCAATTAACACAATGAAAACACAAATGTGGATCGTTTTAAAATTATATCATTGTGATGTTTAAATAAATCAATGACTTCTTAGTATTGATGACTGTTGTAATTTTGAATTCCAAATACAATACATTCGTTCGGGCTCATCTGATACTTCTTGATTAAATTGCGTTATTCCTGGGATTACTAGTTCATACTACAATTCAGTTCGATGCGTAATCAAATTTATTCAGATAATACTTCATTGAGTTGTGAAACAGTCCATGATGATGAGCACAAGTTTAGTAAATGCATGTTCTGCGGCAAGTTTCACCCATGTAATTCATGTATATTTCGTAATTCTAAATGCTTTAAATGTGGTATAACTGGACATATTCAGTCAGTTTGTAATACCATGGTTCATTTCGCTGAAAGTAATGCTAAGATGGATGCTTCTAATGATCAGTTATCTTTATCTAGAAGAGGTATAACGTTATATAACAGTCCAGAGTTGAATGAAACCCAGAGTCATTGGGAGGCGAAAATTCTCAACCAATCAACTTATCAGATTTCTCATGTTATTGTGCCAGATATGGTTTGTCGTAATAATTCACATACTTCTGATGTAATTTCTTACAACTCTGAGAATAGAATGTTAAATGAGTCAAATCATGATCAAAAACCAAATTCAGTCATGGTAGATGTTGAATTCCCTGATGATCCATTACCTAATGAAACTCTTAATCAATTTGAGGAAAATAT